TGATTCAAGGTGAAATGGTATAGAACCCCAATGTGAAAAATGGGAATTACAAGCGACTTTTTTTCATTTTTACCTTCTTTTTTTTTTTTTTTTTTTTTTTTCTTTTTTAATGTAAAAACGCAATTGGGATATATTGTGATATTATCAGCTTTGATCCATGGATCTCATCCCATGACCATTTTTTCACCCTTGACACAATGCCATGAATCAGAAAAGAAGAAAAATACAACCAACACAATTGCTGAAGTGAAATGCTCAAGAAGTGTGAGAAGATAGCCACTGCAAAAGGAAGCTCAACATTCAAAAAAATGTCATGAACCCAAAATTTGTTCTATTATATGCTTTGAAAATTTCAATATAATTCCATTATTCCATTTATACTTCACTATAGACAGTACATACACATTTTCCATATACATATGAATCCAAGGTGAAGTTAAACATTTGCATATCCTATCAGACACTCATGTATCCTCCAGGGAGAAAAGGAAATGGTATCTTTACATTGCTAACTTTTGAAGTTCTCTTGCATTCCCGATTTCTGTTTTCTGTGAGCTTCCGGTTAATTAGAGTGATATTAAGTTTCTCAAACAATGATCAATGGTCACCCTCAGAAGCATCTTAGGTGTTCTTCTCCAGAACAGAGAGTGCTGGAGTCAAATAGTTATTTGCTTTGTCAGGCAAATGTGCTACCTGCAAAAACAATATATTGTTGTTTTAGCTTCAAGTCCTTAACCACTAAAAGCCTAGTCAAAGATATTCTTTTCCAGTATATTCTTTACCAGCTCATAAAGCTCTTTCCCTTGCTCTGCAACATACTCATAACATACCTGCATGTACCAAATTTTCTTTTAGTTCTTTCCTACCTAAAGCTAACTTTAGTGAAGAAAAGTGTTACCCACATCAAAGCTCTTGTTTCTTGCAGTTGAATCGTGCAATGCCTTTACACAGATATCAGCCACATCAGCACAACTGATGCCCTAATTGGAGAGGGTGGTACCATGTATTAGTTTAGTAATTCCATCAAATCCATAGCAATAGTTCATTCATACCTGAGATATCCTGTTCCCTTGATCAAATATAAGAGCACGTTGGCCACCAGGTTCCTCCTGCATGAATCAAAACTTTATTTAATTGTCTAGGTTTCACTGGAAAATGACAAATGGAGCTTTGAAAACTGAAGTTCAAAAATTATTTGATAGACATAAGACAAATTTTTGCCACCTCATATATATTAGTTCAAAACAATGATTTTCCTTTAGCAACATGAAGCTATTTAGCTTGCAGGCACCTGTTGAAGAAGGATGTGAGATGTCCTATAGATATTGATTTGCCATACAAAAAGACAAAAAATAATAATAATAAAAAAAACAACTTAAAAATTTCTAGGCATCCATGAAACCTTTACAATTTCCTTTTCTTTTGCAAGAACCCACGAACAATTAACCAGTGCAATGTTATTGATACCATACTGTATCAGTCGTATCGGTTTTTACATTAAACCGAAATGGTACATGGTCCAATTTCATTTCGATCAAATTTCATCCATTTTGGTTAAATTTCAGTGTACCAGCTGGTATTTCGACGTACCAACCGGTACACGAAAATTGACTGGTAGAACTCAATTCAAATTTAAAAAAGATAAATTCCATTTTTGGTTCTCAACTTTAATGTTTTACATAATTTTCATCCTTTAACTTTTTTATATACTTTTTTAGTCCTTCTATCAATTACTCCATTAAGTTTATCTAAATATACACATTTTTAGTCCTTTAACTTAAGGTGGATGGATGAAAAATATGCACATATTAAAAGTTGAGGGACTAAAAATGATCATTTTAAACTTGTTTTCAACTTATAGGAATTATGATGGTTTTAAACATTAGTATCTGTTATCTTATTTTAAAATTTGATATTTAATTTATAAAAATATATATTTATAACGATAAATCCGAAACGGTATGCGAAAAATTTCAGTATCCGGTACACATGCTGGTATAATATTGACAACTTTGAATCAGTGTCTTTATAGTATTAGCATTATGATTAAGGTTAAGCTTTTGATTAGATTCCAAAACTGTATGAAAATCAACAAACCCATAAGAATTTTGGTTTTAATGAAGAATCTTAAATTAACAATTGACCAAGTTTGCAATGAGATAATTACCTTTAATGGACCAGGGCGTACTATTGTGTACCCAAGGCCTGATCTTCTCAATGAATCCTCCCCAGCCTGTAGTTTCAACAAGGAATGTCTTATGTGAGAAAATAAAAAATAGAGAAAGAATTCATTACACCAGTAAAAGGAACAAGGTTAAACAAAGGCCAAAAGCCTACCCTTTTGGCTTTGAGAACTTGCTCCCTTCTGCTAGGTTCCACTCCTAATCCTGTACATGAGACTAAAACAAAATCTGTTTCTTGCCCAGTCTGCAAAATCAGTTTTTGAACTTTATTACAGAAGGCAAGAAACATCTAATCAACCCATACATAAAGTAAGCATATAAAGAAAAATTAGGCCCTCTCCCCCTTATGTGTCATTGTACCTCACAGTTCAAAATGTTCTCAATATGTATTTTCCAGGGCTTATATTTAATCTGGTTGCAAGAAAATGAGTAATGGACTCACTTCAGGAATCTTCTAGAGAATCAGAGAAAATGTCTAATTTAAAAGCTAATGAAAAATCAGAAGAACTTGACTTGGCGATTGTGAGCTACAAGCTCTTTTTTCTTTTAAAAGCCCAGTGAACTACAACCTTGACTACACCGCCTCAGATCAAGCAAATTGAAAACCAAAGGGTATCTTTTGAACTAGAAAAATTGTAGAAAGGTTTTCTTCTGTTCAACTATTTCAACTACTAAGAACTCCATTTGTGCTTTCACTTTATCTGTCACTCAGTCTAAGCTAGTCATTTAGCAGACCATGTGCATGCATACACACATGCAGAGGTTGAATGAAATAAAATGGAGGATAAGAAAGAAATAGAATAAGGAAGACTTGATTTTCCATTCTATGCTTATGTCCATTCAAGTAGAGGGTTAGAACCACTATGACAATTCAGACTAACACGTTGAGGTTTCACGGCTACAAGACATGGTAATTCAGAATTAGTCTATTAGAGTGCTTGTTTATATTGGTAATAGAAAAATCCAAATGGAAGGTTCTTCCGGGCATAAGAAGAAGAAAAAACAGATGAGCAATGAGTACACACAAAGTACATACAGGCAAGGCTTTTATATATTCCAGTGTAAGCTTAAAGCTTCTGGGG